ACTGCAAGTGCGCTTGCGTTAATCGGAATTCTGGGAAAAAGATTTGCACAATTCGTGTGTGCGTGTAGAAGTCTTTGAGGGATAGACATTCCTTGTTGAAAGGTCACACCTGTCATGATTCCCAGTAGATGTAGCATTCCGTACTCAAATTAAGTACAAAACCAAAGACCAGTGATAAGCTTTATTTGCTAACAGGGTCATAATAATTACCAAAGAATTTACGACATCCGACTTTAAACAAGTTTCTTAAACCTCTGTAACATCAGTGTAACGTGAAGCGGTCACCCATTAAACAGGCTGCTATAACAGGGCATCACCAGAAAAGCTAGCTCATGGCGAGGCATTTCCCTATATACCTTCGATTAGCATGATGGGCCTCTTCAGCTACGGCAACCAATCCGTTCCCGGACTCCGTTTGGACACAAAGTCCTAAGAAGTAGGTTTTCAGATACGGCAACCACTGCCGTCCACAGACACGAAGTCTGTATATGGACACTAAGTCCTAGCTCTAAGACTTCCTAAAGCAGGACACCAGACACCCAGTCACTACGCTGCCACCGATTTTGTAACGTGAAGCGGTCACCCATCCAAAAATTTGCTTAACTTGTCTGAAATAGAGGGAGACTCTACCGCATCACCAGAAAAGCTAGTTCACTGGCGAGGCAGTATAAGTTCCCTATATACTGTCCGCTACATCAGCTTATCTGAAAGTACCTTCCATCTGTTTAAAAATTAAATGTACTTGGAATACATTCTTGAGTTTGGAAATTTAAACATCATTTGCAAGTGACTAGGTGTATTTGGCACGAAATTATCTCTCACTGATCAATGGCCCCGAGTGCCGAGAAAAGGTATAAATTTGTAGCACTGCATGGGCAAGTGTTGGCGTTTCCAAATGAGTGAAAAATTGTCAATAGGAATGTTCAGCAACAAACACAAAAACATATCTTAAAGTTGTGGTCTATTAAGTGCATCGAACTTCTACTTTTCTGCTCAAGTATTACCTCTACTCATATAGAAGGGAAAAGTTTCACTAAAACAACCTCTAGTTGGATAGAAAACGAATATTAAATAGATAAAATTATTTTAGATTAATTATATATACATATATACATATAGATACAGTGAAGGTGGAGATAATAAGTAGTAATCAAGTCCACTGAAACCGAACAGATTGAGAGCAGGGCAAACATGCACCTCTAAAACATGAGAGGGGGGATCAGGTGTCACGGAGTAGTTGGCATCTCCCGCGCCCCAGTTACGTCGTCTGCTTCTTTATATAATCAGAAAAAAAATCTGTGTGTAAAAAATGGCATACGAAAGAGTATGGTAAACGAGAGAGTTCGTCAACATTCGACATAACATCTTTGTTATCCAAGGGTTTCTGATCCTTCATTCTTCTCATAAAAGCTCATAAATATAACAGGAGTATTTCTTTTAAATAGCAATGCATCCGGTTTTTATTTCAGATTTATGAGTTAGTGCGTAATTCTCTCCATAGTTCCCATTTGCCTCTGCTTTTTTTTTTGTTTAATGAAAATAAAGCTGCACATTAATAAAGAGAAATCTAACGTAAACCTTTTAAGAGTAGAAAAGGTTTTACATGTTTCCTTAGAAACAACTAAGTTAATGGATGCATTCTTTACTAAAAAGCACATTTCTTTTTTATTTGTCATGCATTTGGTGTACATTAACACACATAAAAAAGAACAATTAGACTTTGTTTGAAAAAGGTACAAAAATGCATTTAATGGATGAAGGGGATCGATGGCTAGCATTTCAATACAGATAGACTCAGTGATTATCTCTCGTACAGTCTATGTCTTCTACTTATGATAGAGGTAATATTCATTTGCTCAGATCCCAACCAATATTCTTGCTGTCGTATTCGAATATAAAAAATAGAGAAAAAACAAATAATTGATCTCAAAAATCAATACAAATATGTCAATACAAATCATTCAATACAAATCTGTAACAAGGACATTAAACCGAACCCTTACATATTTCAGAGATTGAATCAAATACCTGGCTGAAAGGCATTCCTTGTCAACAAGACACATACACATACACTTTCATACCTATGATAAAAGAGAATATTCCGTGATCAAATTCAATATACCGTACAAACAGGCTTAACAATTGATATCAAACATGTCAAGCAAAGCATGCAGCTTACAATAACCATAGGATTAACAAAATACTGATTCTAAATGAGTTTATAGTATGACTGAATATGTAATAAATGTTTTTAGTAGTTTTCATTTTAAAAATTGATCGAAGTCAGGGCATGTCTTCAAATATATGAATTTAACCAACAAACATCTCCAAATGGAACAGTGTGGTAAACTGTGTGATGTCTGTTTTGTAGAGTTCGTTTGGAACTAAGCCTCAATATATGCTAAAAAAAAATTGAAATCATTTGAAAAATATCAAGCTCAGCTTAATTTGTTAACATCGTTTCAGATATGTACACTCTTAAAAAAGTTTTACATGTTTTTTACAAATCAATAAATGCTAAAAAAAATTTTAAATCAATTACTGAAATATATGTCAATTACTAAATTCAAATGTTTTACTTGATTTTTGTATTTTAACAATTGTTTTACACACACTAAAAAGTGTTGCTTAATAATTTATATTTACTTCAATTTGTGTATATAAGTAATAACATTACTTGATCTTTACTTAATTTTACCCTATTTAATATAACTTATATGTGCCTCGTAAAGCGTCCGTCGTGATTAGTAAAACTTTAATTTTACTTTTGATTAAGATATGACTGATATTTCACATGTCTATTCCTTTTGACAAGACCTTTCTTTGAGTATCACCAAATTTGACCTTTTGACCTTGACCTTGTGAAAGTTACTTTTCAAATTCCAAACATTAATTTACTAGCCATATCTTTTTAACAGTAAATAAATATACCATATATATTCTTTGTTGAAAGACCTTTTCATTGGATACCAACAACCATGATTTGTACTTTGGAGATTAAATTTACTAGTTTTAACCTTGGCCATTACTTTTGAACTAGTTTTCACTTTATATTTTCCTGTACCAGTCATTGGATACCAAGAACTTTGACCCTTTGACATTGACCTTGGACTGTTTTAAAAAGCAAACCTTGACTTTAACTTTAAAAGGATTAGGGTTAGTGCATTATTTAAAATTCTACAAGACCTAAAATCAGTGGCCCTTTGTGAATTGTCCTTGACCTTAGTTTGACAATAAAATTATAACCTTGACCATATATTTAAACTTCAGTTTAATTTCAGATGTATTTTTTTGTTATGTCTCATTAGATACCAATAACATTGACCATTTGACCTTGACCTTTGTGCTACCAATATATTGAATTTTATAAGAAAAGTTTAACCTTTTTATCTTGCCATAAGGATAGTTTTTCACAAACACATCTTGTTAAAATTGTATTTTGATTTCCTTAAAACAATCCTTTATTTTTTTCAAATAATTACTTAAAAATGGAAAACCTATGTGTATGTATATATAATTTTTATCTTAATTGTTTGTGAATCTTTTCTCCATACTAATTAAAATGTTGTATTAAGTACAAACTTTAAACCATTTTTAAAATGCCTGACAAATGTTCAATTTCTAAGGCTTTCAACACTGGAATTAAACGTTTTATTGTTAAATAAAAAAACAATTACAAAGAAACTGGCAAAACAATTAGAAAGTATTGTTACCATTCCATGTAGATCTCATCTAATTGATTATTCAAAAAGCTCAATTGGGAATCTGTGATCAAGAAAACTGTGATTAGTCTTACATTTTATACTTTCACAGTTACGTGTATCTCTTTCATCAGAGGCCTGAGAGGTTGACACCTTGCAGTTTTTCTAGCAAATAATGTCGATTTTAGTAAATATGATAAGTATTTCATTTACTACTCTTAAGTAATAATATTCATAATTTAATTAATTTCAGAATTACATTTACATATAATTCAGGTCTAGTAAATAGAAAGCATATTATCTTAAATTAAGTAATAATAATTTACTAAAAATGAGTAGTTCATTTACTAAGTAATATAATTCCTATTTTATATGGAAATCATTTTATAACACTGTTACTAATCATGTTTACAATTACTAACCATGATAGTCATTTACTTGCTATTCTGACTAAATGGATTACTAATAATTACTAGTTTTTCTTAATCTAATATCTTATTTTAAAAACAACAAGTAAAACTTTTTTTAGAGTGTAGAACTTAATAGTTCGATGGTATTTTGTGTCGGATCTTCAAGATCCGCTGAACTGTAGGAGAAATCTCTTGTGGATTGAGACTGTATTTAAACTATGAAATCAGTGGCGTGTAGTCATGTTATACCATAGAAAATCTCATATATTTAAAATTGAGTTTAAGTTGTGTATTTTGGTTATGTTCATGTTAAGAATTCTGCGGTTTTACTCAGTAGATCTTTGCTATCTTTTTACTCCTTATTTATTTTACGGATAGTGTTTGAAACACTGCTAAAATTGCTATATCCAAATCCTTCATTTCAGCCCCGTGGGGATCCTTTGACCTTTTGCTTGTCGTAAAAGGCAATAAATGGGGCGGTTCTTTGAGACCATAAACCGGAGTTCACAGCAGGTGTGGCATGCCCTAAATTTCATTGCAAAAGCCCTTCACCGGCAATGGCGTCTCCAAATCAGTGAAATATTCTGGAGAGGGACGTTAAACAGTATACAATCAATCAATCATTTCTTTCAATACTACCAATACTGTGGAAAATCCATGTGCATATTATTTTTATCATTAATCCTTTCTCCCTTTTGTTTTCTAAGACAATGCCTTATTCTGCCTGCCAAATGTTTATTTTCTGCAACAACTGAGCTCTGAAATAAAAAGAAACCGAAGATAACGCAAAGATAAGCGTCAACTGACCATGTGTATTGGTCTTGCAAGTCTTTCTCGTTGTACGTGTATTGTACTTTTTAAAAACTTGTTTTTACTTTTTACAGACAAAAAAATGGAAAGGAACTTAACAAACCAGACCAATAGTGGAGGACAATGCGACGATCCAGTGGGACTTTATGCTTATGCTTGTTTTTACTACGGGGTTCATGATTATCTTAGCGTGATTTTATGTTGTTTTGGAATACCTGCAAATTTTGTCAACATTTTCATTCTGACCCGAAAGACGATGAGAACACCTATCAACATAATATTGACCGGTATAGCGGTCTCTGACATGCTGACAATGTTATCCTACCTTCTGTGGGCTATTCACTTCCGGGTCATGTATGGACTTGATGATAACAGACCTGGTAAAAACACCTACGGTTGGACTTTGTTCTTAGCTTTCCATATCTGCCTCACAATAACAACATACACCATTTCTATTTGGCTCGGGGTGTGCATGTCAATTGTTAGGTATATTTACATCTCATCACTGGGGACTCGGCAACCTGGAGCAGATGAACGAAGATCGTGTATTCTTGTCACCATTGTGTTCACACTTTCAATTATTGCGTACATTCCAAAATATGTAACTACAAAGATTGAAAATATTAACTCAACGGAAGTTTATAGGTATCAAGGTTTTGAGATTCAGTCACCAAATCTTTCTCCACTGCAAACCGCTTTCGTTTGGATATTCCTCGTCATTGGAAAATGGATTCCTTGTTTCTTGATCATTGTATTCGGTATTTTATTAGTTTGTACCTTGCATAAAAGTAAGAAAAGGACAGAAAAGCTTAAAGGTGCTCAGACCAAAGCGAGGCTAAAGCAGCACACAAGAACGACCGCCATGTTGTTGGTTATAATTCTTATGTATATTGTATCTGAACTTCCCCAAACGATTGTTTTGGTCATAAGTTATGTCAGTAAAAACTTTTTGGACTACATTTTGTTGGGAGACACCATAGATATAATTTGTTTGATAAATAATTCAGTGAATATAGTACTTTACTGTGCGATGAGCAAACAGTTTCGAGATATGCTATGGTCCAGTTTGTGTAATGTTTTCAGGCTCTCAGACCCAAAGAGATATATGACAGTTCAGACAACCGTTACACATACATGTCCGACAAAGAATGTCTGCTACGAGCCCTAGTTTGTTGTTAAACATTAAAAGGTTATTATTTAATGGCTTTAATGTAAAATGGCGCCAGGACTCTCTCTCTCTCTCTCTCTCTCTTTCTTATTAATACACAACTGAAAGAATTTTTTGTTATTTTAAGATTTGTTCATCTTATTCTTTAAAAAATGTAGATCAAAAGAGATTTCATTACTTAGGATTTTGATTTTCTTACATAAATGAAGCATATGGAGATAACGAACAGTATTCAAGATTCAAAGTCCATAAACAATACAAAATAGGAGCAGAGCGCGCAACCCACGGACCTTCAAAACATCAGACGTGGGATCAGGTGCCATGGAGGATTGACCATGTTTTGGCTTTTGAAAACGCTCTCGATTGATCAGGTCAAAAGAAAACTCAGGGTGTGGCTGTTTGTTAAATATTGTATATTCCTTTTATTGAATTACAGTTTCAAATCATGCAAAATATTTATTAGAAAGTAGATTTCAAAAACTTTTCTCCTTCACTCATGGATTCCAACCAAACAATTTAAAAAAAAGAATATTTGGAATGGGAGAATAATAATTTATGTCATTGAATAAATATGAAAAGAAATCCTATGTTGTGCATTTATAGATCCAGTATTTCTGAAATTGTTAATTAAAATTGAATAGGGTTTTTGTGATATTGATTTTTCATTTTACTCCTTCTTGGTTATACTCTGTTATTTTCCACCAGCAATGTGAAAAGATATACATTTTTCATTGTCTCTATTTTAAAATAGAAAAAATAATTGACATTCCGAAAAATTTATTTGCGTTTTTCCCATGCATTGTATGTTTTCCTGTATTTTGAGATTTAAAACTTGTAAATCTCAATCATCATTCGTGTTTGTGACATGTATAGTGTATATGTAATAAAATTGTTTTCTCTTGTACATGATTTTGCATCTTAAATGAATATCATTATACTCTAGTCTTTTAAAAGATCTCTATATAATTTATACTGCATAAGCTGTTCTTTACACTACAAACATATATCTTTGAATTAATTAAACGGCAGACGAGACGTTCCTCAGTAACATATAATTTTTTCCAAGATTTTGTCAATAAAGAATCCATACTTTAACATGTTTATTCACAAAAAATTGAGGTACCTTATCAGGCATTTGCTCGAGATATCAGAGGATGGCATTCCTTATATAATCCTTTGGGACAAAAAACTAAGTTTGCCAAAATCACATTTTTGGTGTTTCTAATTTTTAAAAAACAATTAGAAACCGGTTTAGAAATCAGAAAGTAATTAAAATTTTGTATATTTTTCATACATTATGAAGATATAAAAACAGATATATGGGGAACGTATCGTCTGACCATAAAGGTCGTTTTCACTTACGTCTCTATATGAGTGAAATATTTTTAATTGAATGTTTAACAACATACGTATACAATGAATCCATCACTGGAGGGTCATTGCGCGTGCAGCAGACGACAACTCAACAAAGTTGGTAACAAAATTTTCATTGAAAGTTTTGTTGAGGATTAAAACTTGTTGACAAGTAATACTCACATAATTCAAGAAAATTACTCCATTATAAAAAAAAACCCAGTGATTACACAGAATTATGTTTTACACTTAGAAACCGGGACTTCTTTCCAATAATTTGGTCTCTCTCTTCTATGATAATTGTGTAAAAGGGAGACACACGCATCGAACTGAAAATTTTGTTTATTCAATGTAATTAAATATACTGTGCATTTGAAGACCCTGAATTATTTTATTATCAAATACATGTTAGACTTAATCATGCCCACTTTACGTGAAACCCATGAAATTTATGAACGGAAGGGAAAATAAACGCCAATAATAATCCATTACATGGGCTCTAATCATTTAATGGAAAATTGAACATCAAAGGCTGAATGTCGCACTATTTCCCAAAGTAAACCTAACAATAGCGATTCCTGAAAGTTGTCAACGATATTTCAGTAGACGGACGCCGTTATAACGCGACTGCACCAAGGGGCATATTCAATCGAATGCTGGCTCATTCCAAACTCGCTCTCAATTCTCTATGCCAAACAATCAAACAGCGCGCCACTTAACACGTTTAGGAGCATAATAAGTAAATGATTACAAAACTATCAATTTCAAGAGGTTCATTTTTAAATAAGAAAATACGAAAAAATAATTTTTTTTTTTAAAAAACAAATTACTGAGAATTTATAAAAACAATCCTTCTACTTCAAATATTGAACACCCTACAACTGAAAGTGGATTATAAACAAAATCAATGCCAGCATATCAGTATGCTGAATTGTAAATCACGTCTTACTTGATTGTTGCGTCAATGTTTTGAAACCAGTTGTTGTTGCAGCCAGACTTGAATATATTTACACATGTCTGTCAGCAGTACTGTGCATTGAAAGAAATAAGATGTGCATTTAAATAGCATAAATCAAGAGCGAATCACAACACAAACCTCCAAAAACATCAAGGTGAGATCAGGTTACACGGAGGACTACAATGTTAAAGAATTTTTTCACGAGAACACGTATCTAAACAATGTCAAGACAAAAACGATAAGTTTCATCAATATTCATAAAAAGTGCTCTTTGTATAGTTACGGTGGCCAAATGTACGCAGTCAATTTCATTTCTGAAGTAAAAATTTAAATCTGAAGTAAAAATTTAAACATGATGCAAGGGACAATCTTTTATAAGCATAAACTGACAAAATGCAGCATAAATTTCTCTGTTTACATGCAATAGTTAGCTCTTGGAATTTTACTTGAGGTATTGTGAGCCCTAAGCTCACTAAATGATACCCCTGCCTTCCATATGATTATAATCGCAAAGTCCATGTTTTACTCCGGGAGATCCGAAATAAGTGTCAAATCAAAAGGTAAAATAAGAGATGTACAATGGCATTATGTAAAGAAGAAACTGTGAAAGTATCATTGAATTTCATTCACTGGTATAGGAGGAGTTGCGGATAAGAGATGGTACTCTTCAATATTATAGAAAGAATGGTTGTGTATGTGTTTTATTGTGGGAAACCCAATGTATCCGATCAAAAAGTAAAATAAGAGATGCATTGTTGCTACCACTACTGAAATAACGACCACTATTGAAATAATTATATCAATAGTGGTTGAGAGTGCATTTCAATAGTAAACATAGTTAGTAACCACTATTGAAATACAACCACTATTAAAACTAGAGTAAAGCTCGTTGCAAAGCAACGAGTAGGTCTTCCGTCCTGTTTTGACCGGAAGTGACGTCAACAAAAGAAAGCAATGAGCTTAGTCGTCTCCAGTCACTTTATAATTTCAATTTTGCATCAAAACTTCAAAAAATAAACTATTTTTGGCTACTTCCGGTTTGACCGGAAGTGATGTCGATGGACGGAAAATTAAGTTTTATGCTTCCAGTGACATATGTTACCCAAAAACTTGTCAAGAACGGCAGAAATATGCATTTTCTGACTACTTCCGGTTTGACCGGAAGTGACGTCGCTGGACGCATTTTGACGACTTCAGTAGATTAAGCTTGACATTTTGAACAACTTTGTTTCTTGGATGTATTACAAATTCTCAATACTTTTTGAAATATCTGGAAAAAACTTTTGGCCCCTCTAGATCCCTTAATTTAGGGGTCAGCCCTTTTTTCGAGATATCACTTGAAAGATCTTGTAATTCTGCACAAATTTTGTTCTATATGTTTTAACAAAATATTTTTAGTTTAGAAGATAAAAAGCAAAATATGTGTAAATTTTCGCTCTTTTAGGCGTTCTAATTTTTGACCCCTATATAGCACCATTTTGAATAGAGAAATCGAAAAACAAAAACCGCCATGCACAACTTTAATCCTTGTATTATCTAAAATCAGTAAAATTTCTGCTCCAGCTTTAGCCGTCTCCGAGCCTTTGTCTGGAAACGAAAGCCTATTAATTTTTGTTGAAAGGGAAATAACTCAAAACCGGAAGTGACTTTTTTGAAATTTTAGATAGCATTCTGATAGAGTTTAGTAACGTTTATAAACTCTGAAAAATTGAGCAAAATCCATTGAGAAATGAGTGAAATATGAGGCCTCAAATTTGGCGTCTAGGAAAAGGGAAAAAAAAAGAATAATAAGAATAATCTTAATCATTAGAATCAGTAGAAGGTCTTCCGTTGGAAACGGAAGACCTTAATAATTATATCAATAGTGGTTGAGAATTCATTTCAATAACAAACGTAGGTAATAACCACTATTGAAATACGACCAATATTGAAATAATTATTTCATTAGTGGTTGAGAGTGCACTTTAATAAAAAACATAGGTAATATCCACTATTGAAATACGGCCACTATCGAAATAATTATTTCAATAGTGGGTGAGATTCATTTCAATAACAAACATAGGTTGCAACCACTGTAGAAATAATGTTCACTTTTGTAATATAGATTTCAATATGGATAAAATCATTGATTTCAATGATGCTTTGAAAAATGAATCCAATATATATAATTATTTCAAAAGTTGCTGACGCGGTGAAACTTTTCTCTGAATACTGGCAGTATTTCAATAGTGGTTGAAACCTATGGTTACCATCTTGAAATGCACTCTCACCCACTATTAAATAATTATATTATATAAGAGGATTATTTTCGTAGTTTTCATTGGATGAAAGGACGTCACGTGACATTCCTCATTTTTGCGATAGCGAAGCGAAAGCGCGTCCGCGGAAAATGATATCGCACGACACGCCGTTCGGTTGCACTGAAGTTACGTAGAACGTGACGTCATAATAAAAGAAACGTGAATTTAACTATTGTGACGTAATGACAGCCAAGTCCGTTGAATTAGGACTGTGTCGGTGCATTCACTTTGAGTGATTATATAATATAACTATTATAGACTTCAGTGAACGGTCAATATGTGGTTATATATGGCAATTGATATACCTCAGACACAGAAAATGACAGCTACCTCACAGGCTCGGTCACTATCACTTTCTGTGTCTTCGGTCAATATCAATTGCCATGAGTCCTCATAACCACATATCGACCTACACTGAAGTCCATAATTGTATGATATCAGTAGTGCTCGTAT